GAAATCTACTGATGTTAAAATGATGCTGGATCCTTCTTCATCTTCGAAAGTTTCAAACGGCAATACTTCTTTATCTGTAGCAGATGCAAGAAATACTGAAAAGCTGAAGACTGGAGTCTCCCAGCCTAAGAATGTCCTCAGTAACAAGTCAAAAGATGCAAACACATCATCTGATGCGGTTCATCAAAAATATGTTGATAAAAGTGCATATCCACAACCGAACCTCCAGACTGGGAGACAATCAAATCATGTTGATGAATGGGAAGCATCAGTTCGGCAGAAAGAAAAGAGTGGTGCACGTGAACTGCCAGATGTTAATGCTTCTGAGGGCAGATACCCTATGCAAACAATTGTATGTGTTCTTTTTCCTAATATGCATATTTTCCCTTCCTGACAAAATACATATATATATATATGTATATATATATTTTCCTTTCCTCCCGAATACTCACAAAACATAGGAAGGAATATGAGCTCACATGTGGATATATATATATATATATGTATATATGTGTGTATATATATATATGCAATCTCCATTTTCTTTGAGAATTATGATATTTCAAATGTTAGAGAGAGATTTAAAAAAAAAAAGCTCCAGCAATTTTCTATTTTAGAGAAAGAATTATTGTTATTGGAGCCTTGTTTGCTGTTGGCAAAGGTCCTCCAGACGGATATGTTCAGTCTATGCCATCGAGGAAAGAAAGCTTGAAGGATTCTTGTCCTTAGGGTGATCCATTTTTCCTTTAATTTTACTACTGAATTAAATATAATGTAGTTTGATTTTGTTAATGCAATAAATTATTTGTCTCTGCAAGTCCTTGAACACCATAACTTTGTTGCTTTTATTATTATTATTTATTATTTATTCGATGTTTAATATTATGCAGAAAACCTCACATACACACAAAAGGGATGGTTCTAGTGTTAAAGCCAAGAGTTCAATGCTTGAACGAGCTATTAGGGAGCTAGAGAGGATGGTTGTTGAGTGTAAGTTGTGAAACTCTTTTGACATTTCTTTTTCTTTATTAATATCAGGGGGGGCTCCTTTCAGAAAATAAAAGTATGTTTTTTCCTTAAAACACTGCAGCAAGGCCACCTTCTGGTACAGAAAATCAAGAGGCAGATATTTCATGTCAGGCAGTTAAGAGGAGATTGCCAAGAGAAATAAAACTGAAACTTGCTAAAGTTGCTAGAATAGCGGTAAAGAAATCAGTTAACATTACTGCATATTCCTTGGTTATATGCTGTAGAAAAAAATTATTATGTTTGAATTCAAGGTTATTGAAATTTAAAAGTATAAACTTGAAGCTCCAAAGTATACATATGTTACTTTTGCATTATGTGCAGCAGGCAAGCCAAGGGAAAGTATCGAAGGAATTACTCAGTAGACTAATGAGTATTCTTGGCCACTTAATACAGCTCAGAACACTTAAGGTATCCCCGGGCTCCTTGATGTTTGAAATGGTTCTATAATTACTAGCTTTTTATTTTAGGCATATTGAGATGGTGACAATCTTCATAGAAATGTTTGGTTTGTCAGTTTGAAAGCAAATGAAGTTTGCATTGGACAGCAGTTTGTTGATGAATAATGAGGTCCTTATTTAGGAAAAAGCAAATTAAGTGTTGTGCTCTCTTAGAAATCCTTTATTCTTGTTTCTTCTTTTCAGTTATATGATCTGACTCTTGATAAATCCTTGCTTCGTTTCTTCACAAAAATTTTTACATGATTACTCTTGTTGGCGCAATATTGAAGTAACGTTTATTTTCTCATTTTGTCACAGAGAAACCTGAAAATTATGATTAATACGGGTCTGTCAATTAAGCAAGAGAAGGATGACAAATTTCAACAAATAAAGAAGGAAGTTGTTGAGATGATAAAGGCACGAGGACCATCTATAGAGTCCAAGGTACTTTTCTTTCTCTCTTCTGGTTGGGCCCTGTTGAGAGTTTTGACATATAGATCTTTAGTTTGATGGGGGAAAGAAGATCCCATTTTCTCTTTTATCTTTTCTTGGCAGTATGCATATTTTGGCTTACTGGGTATGATTTTTATTTCTCATGGTGTCTTCATGTAAAATTTATTGCCTTTTCTCTCAGCTAAAATGAATGAACTTTTTAATATGATATGCTTTCATCTTTTCCTTAATGTTTTATTCCTTACACTTTGAAACTGTTAAAATTCCTGTTTTATTCTGTGATCCCTGATTTAGGGAAGTGACTTGTTAGTAAAAAGAATTTGACTAGCATATTATTGGTTATGCTAAAAGAGTAAACTGAAAAATATTGTTTTTAGTACTTTATCTAAGAATATAATCTAAATAAATAGAATATTGACTATAACAGAGCTTATCTAGACTGGCTATATAAAACTTATCTATTTAGGGCATTAACTATATACAAAAAGGCCATATAGAAAATAACTTATTATTCCCTAATAGGCTTTTTAATAAATATTCCACCATGCTGTGTAAAATTGAGACCTACAGACCATCTTCCCAAACAAGCTAAACCAACTGCTACTACTCCAACTAAGAAAGAATTGAACAAGGAATCAATCAAACAAATGATAAGCTCGAGCAACAACAAGGTATCAAACAAGCTTTATCTCGAAAAAAAAAAAAGATATCAAACTGCTATGACTCCAACTAAGAAAGAATTGAACAAGGACTCAATCTTTGTAATAAGGACTCAATCTGCTATGAATTGAACAAGGTACCATGTAACATGAACAATGGGAAACCTTCCACAACCAGTAATTGCAATCCTTGGAAGAACTTATCACCAACTTCAAACAAACATCTAGTGGAAAGTTTTCTTTTATTAAGGCAGCAACAAGCCTTTGTGCCCATTGAGCCACAAGTTCTAATGGTTCCCAAGTTTTGTGGGCATTAAGTCTCTCTTTCCCAAATGCTCTTAGATTCCAACAAATTTTTTTTGTGAGACAACTTGCTTTCAATCCCTCCCTCTAGGCCCCAGCAAAAACTTTCGGGTTTGCAACAATCTCTTTTCGGACAAGTAGTCCTAACTCCCTCTAGCAAAAGCTCTAGGGTCACAACAAGGTTTTTTAGGGAATTACTCCTTACTTTCCTAGTAGCATTAACAATTACAGTCTTCTTTGTACAATAAGTGGTCCTCAATCTTTTATTTAAAAAAAAAAAAACAGTCCTCAATCTTTGCTTCCTCGAGTTTACAAGCTCTAAGGTTAACAAAAATTTGTTTTGAAACAAAAGTATGTAAAATTGCTATAGGCACCAAAGAAGGTGCCACCCATTTACAAGAAATTTACGAGATAGTCATCCTAAGACTGAAATTTCTAACAGACTCGGAAATAACTGAAGGTTGACCCGATAACAAAAATCCAAGGGTCTTAACCCATCTATTTTTCAAAACATCAAAATCCCTTGTACTATCAATACTAACAAAAGCTATTCTATTCCTTTCTTTTCAAACAGTCCACAAGATAGTGAGGGGAACCATCTCGTTGCACAGATAACTATTTTCCATAGCCTTCCAAGCCAACAGCTCCTCCCTAATCAAGCCAGGAATTATCCATCTCAAACCCAGAAACCTGAAGACCGAATACCACTGATCACTAACCACAGGACACCCAATCAATAAATGGTAGCAGTTTTCTTCAGCCATCTTGCACATATAGCATCTATTGACCAAGTGTTGAACCCTCCTTTTGAGATCATCAACGGTAAGAATGCAGCCTCTACACGCTTCCCGGGCAAAATTTGAAATTCTAGGGGGCACCTTGGATGTCCAAATCTGTTTGTGAAGGAAGATGACATTATCCTTATCCGCTCTGGTTAAGTGACAGTACCACAATTTCTCCGAGAAAGATCCCTTCTTGGAAAGACCCCATTTTGGCCAATTTTTCTCCTCAGATAAGAAACCTTGGCCAGCTTGCATAATACCCCTTCATATTCATTTATACGCCTTCATATCTACTTTTTTGCCTGTCTAAAATGAAGCTGAATAATGATAAAGACAAAAAGGTTGGAAGCTGGATGAGAAGAAAGGTTTTTCAATGAAATCGTTGTACAGCTTTCTTTCTAGGAGTGAAAACAGTGGCAACAAGACAGCACCATATAAGCAAATATGCCTCCTCCTAGAATGGCTTTTTTTTTGGCTTGGGAGGCGACAAATGAATGTATATTGACTATTGACATGCTAAAAAGGAAGAGTAACACTTTCGTTAATAGATGCTACTTATGCCAAGCTGATGAGGAAACCTGCAACCATTTATTATTGATTTGCCCAATGACATACAACATTTGGGCCTCTGTTTTTGGGCCATTAAGGTTAAATTGGGTTATGACTGACAATATGAGTAGTGAGTTGTGAGCGTGGGCGGATTTTTGTAAAAAGAAAGGACATTTGTTTCTTATCCCACTTACTATTTTTTGGGTGGTGAGGATGGAAAGAAATGCGTGAGTTTTTGAAGGTATAGAGATTAACTTTATAAACATTAGAAATAAATGGATTTACACTTTTGACTCTATTTCGTTGGGTCATGACATCAAAGATTGGGAAGACTTTGATATAGCCATGGATCATTTGGTTGACTTGTAACTATTTTGTATACGAGTGGCACCCCCTTGGTACCTCGTGCATAATAATACTTTATTTTTATTTCAAAAAAAAAATGTTCATTTATTTCCCAGTCATTGAGGTTTCTAGATACCACTATTTGCCATTCACCCTCAGCCTCATTTTTTTTTGTAAAGCAGTCAATAAGTCTAATCTCCTTATCCTGGACAATGGAAAAACTTTGTGGAAATTGTGTACATAACAGCCCCCCCCTCCAGCCAAGGAGCAAGCGAAAACCTAATGTCGCTCCCCTTACCCGCCTTCCACACAATGTGTTGCTGGAAAATACCTCTTTGGGCTTCAATATTCTTCCACATGCTTCTCCCATGTGATCTCAAGGCACCACCAGAAAACCAGCCCCTACAATCAGTCCCAAACTTCGCCGCAATAACTCATCTCCATAAGGCATCCTTCTCTAGCATAAATCTCCACAATTATTTCCCTTGCAACACTTTATTAAGCTCCACCAAGGATCTAATCCCTAAGCCTCCATTCTCCACGGATTTCTTTGCTTCGCTCCAAGCCACCAAATGGTACCTCTTATGGTCTCCCAAATCCCCCCAGAGGAATTTACATTGTAATGCTTCCAATTTTTTAGCAATGCTCACAGGAATAGTCAAGAGGGAAAGGTGGTATATAGGAAGGTTGTGCAAAGTGCATTTGATTAGAGTGAGCCTTCCCCCTTTTGAGAACAA